CTGGGATCATGACCTGAGCCGAAGGCAGCCGCTTAACCGACTGAGCCACCCAGGCGCTCCTAGATATATGGATTTTAATGCAGAAATGAGACCTAAGTTGGATATACAGGTTGAGGCATTGTCAAATAATTGAATTTATGTGACTATACTTTCACTCATGGAGAATATGTTGTCTGAGAAGAGAGCCAAGAACAGAATCCTGACCAAATTTAAGAAGCAATTTAAAATAAGTCCAAAAAAGGAAAACAAGAAAGAAAAAAGTTCAGAGAGATAGGAAAAGAAAAGCCAAGAGAAGATAACTTTCCAGAAGACAAATATAAAATTTGAAAGATAAGATAAAGACTGATTTTATACAGAATACAGAAATTTAAATGTCAGGATTGAAAAAATTGTATTTGAAGAGCAAGCATTTATCATTTTTGTATTGGGACTATAGCCTATGAAAGTGATACCTTAATAGGATTTAGTCTAGGCAAGACAACAAGTTGGAGGAAAAATGATAGAAGCTTGAACTAGGTGGTGGCAGTTATGAATAGAAAAAGGAATGTCAAAATGAGAATCAACAAGGAGTTGGAGGCTCACTGAATATTACTCCGAAAAAAGAAGGCAAAGTCATATATATGAAAAAAATTGAACTATCAAGCTCCCATGGCAATTCCACTGTTTCCAAAGAAGGAATAAGTTTTGGAATAAAAGAGGAATTTAAGGGACAGGGAATTTGAGTTGACTGCAGTACTATCAAGAGACTTTTTAAAAAATTTTTTTTGATTGATGCATTTTTTATTTTTTTTCTTTTTTAAATTTTATTATGTTATGTTAATCACCATACATTACATCATTAGTTTTTGATGTAGTGTTCCATGATTCATTGTTTGCGTATAACCCACCCAGTGCTCCATTCAGTACGTGCCCTCTTTAATACCCATCACCAGGCTGACCCATCCCCCCCACCCCTCTCCCCTCTAGAACCCTCAGTTTGTTTCTCAGAGTCCATAGTCTCTCATGGTTCGTCTCCCCCTCCGATTTCCCTCCCTTCATTCCTCCCCTCCTGCTATCGTCTTCTTCTTCTTCTTTTTTTTAACATA